AGCTCCAACCTAATTTACTATACTAGTGAGGGTAAGATTCATTTCATTATTTTTTTTTAGTATGTGCAAAAAAAGGTCTACGGCAATAATTTCGATGCATTTTATGTATGGGAAGTCCAAATATTTAGGAAAGTTTCATTTCTTTACACCATGTATCTGATATTTTTCAAAATATTGTGAACATTAACTCATAGTTCAACTCCAGTAGGAAATGCGTTAATCTGACCTGAACTTGATTGACGAAATAAGCTCATCGAAGCAATATGTTATTGATGAAAATAATGTCAAATTTGATGCTTATGTTGAGTATCGTAAAAACTAAATAACTAATCACATGTGTTTAAATAAATTTCTATTATGTATGGAGATTTTTAAAAGGATTTTACTTTTAATGCAAATTATTTTCGTTTAAAGACAAACGATTATAAGGTCTAGTTTTAGCTGCAATTATGAGTGTTGTGGATTCAGTTCTTTCAGTGAGTTACTCCTTGATGGATGTAACAAGAACAAGCTAATCGTGTAGTGATCAAGAATCTTTCTATATGATAAAGCTGATTGTTAATATTCGAACGTTTTGCTCCTACACTGATACACATTCAATGCCATATAATAAGTTTCTTCATAAAATATATAACACACAAGCCATCCACTTTCTGAGAAGTACATAATTTCATAAGTATAACCTCTGACTGTCTCTTAGATACGTTCTTTGAAAACTGATAACTATCACGCAACATGACGTGGTATTATACATAAATCAATTAAATCAGGTTATTCAAAACAAAAGGGACTTATTCACATTCTTTCAAGTAGCCATTCATAGAATGACAACGCATATTAAACCTAACTATTATGGCAATAGTGAATCGAATCATCTTCCTAAGAATTATAAACAAATTCATAAAATAAATTTAGTTTTCCGAATCAAATGAATGGTTTATATGTTGTTTGCTGTGTTATATGAGTATATCAGTAACATAAACTAGTCATATTCAAATATCCATATATTAGACGATATAACTTAATATGTTTAGATTTATGCGCATAAATTATAGTCCAGTTTAAGATTTATATGTGGTGTCTTTTTATAATATTATTGACTAACAAAACTCATCAAATAATTGTCTACCTGTAACAAAATAAAGGTCTTCTTAGAATGCAGTTGAATCCCTAACGCTTCTAATCAATATATTATGTTCGTATTAATAATTCTCACTCATTTATGCAAGTTATATTTTAAATGAACTGCTCTCGATTTACAAACAAAACCTGTATTATTATGTATTTATTAAGTCTATTATTTTCAGTAAGACCTCATATCCTCATTCTGATTCCAGTGAATGATGCGTGAAGGTATTCATGAAATATAAATTCTTACTAACATCGTATGTATTCTCTGGCTAACTTTTGTTAGCGCTAACGAGATAAAATAAGTCGCATGCGTATATTTCACTCATTAATTCAAAAAGGAAGATGGTAAGTAGATTATATTGTGGAAATAATAACAAGATGGACGCAAATTTAGAGGAATGATCAGGCTGATACAGAACGTAATGTCACACATAAAATGTAGAAACATATGGTTAAATTGTTTGAAAATATGTGGGGGGCAATGCCAGTGCCGTTACCGCGCAATCATAATGATTTACAACTGTAGAAAGAAAAACGTAAACAGGGAACACAGAACAATAACGGTAAAATTGCTGTGATAAAAGTCCCATAGATATATGTTGGGTTTGCTAATGACCCACTGAATTGGATAGATAATTGTTGTGACATATGTATATGAAATGCACATGATATTTGAGTCACTTCTGATTGCCACCAACTGACTTTTTGCTACTTATGAATGTCCCTTCATATCAATAATATTTAAACAGATCTAGGTAATCAGCGGCATTATATCTGAAGGAACGGTTGTTTATTAGATATGTTCAATACAACCGATGATCAAAAACTTCTTTTCCAAATAGTTTCACCACTGAAACGGGATATATTCACAAGCTTTTTATGGATGTACTCATCAATGCACCAAACAAATGGAAGTGATTTGATTTCACAGAATAGCAGAAAACCATTCCGGTCCCCAAGATTTAATAAAATAATCTATTCAGTGATTTAGCATAAGATAGTTTCATTAATGATAAATTACGAATCCCTTAACTAGATATTTTTGCAAATTGGACTGGATCAGTAGATGTAAAAGATCGTTTATTTCGTATTTTGAAGATTTGATTGTTTTATTCTCCACGTCCTAAAAAGGGTATGGTTCAATCTTATTGCATCTGGATTTGCAGTCTACTCTATATCTATTCAAGAACTTAAAGAGAGGTTACAGCTTTACTAGTTTTGAGATAAATCAAATAGAATGTATAGATTTACTAGTCACATACCTGACTTCTGAACTATATATCATTGTTCACAAAAATACTACTAGAAAAGTTTGCGACGGCTTTAGAGTCAATTATGAATGTGTCATAATGCGAAATGCAGGGGATATTTTCATTTTAAGATGCTCTTACGAATTGATTGAAAAGAAATGTCTTGTACTCATTAATGGCTTTTAATCAAAGTTCTTATAATTTTACTCAAAATCATAGTTACTTGTGCACCTGTAATGAAATGTTGATTCAGTACAATATCTAACTCTTATATCTGATCCGTTACGCTCGATAGCCTTATGCTTTTTCAGACGTACAAATATACCTGAGAACCAGCCAGTTGTTTTGAAAAAATCTATCTGGTGCTTTCATAAGACCACAGCACAAGAAGAAGTGACCGTAAAGGCACTTCTAGCTAACATAAAGCGTTTATGATAATCCAAAATATATGGTGAAGTAAGGAAACAGACATATACAAGTACAGTTTACATACGTGATAATATATGTAAGGGAAATGTATTTGTAAACAACGTCATACAAAGAACGTGACCAGATTAGAATGACACGTTTAAAGATCAGATAAAAATAAGTTATATAGGGGTGTATTTAACACAGTTTACCCCCATACACTAAACATTTCTTCATATTTGACAAGCGTATATAATTTATAAAAATGGCAAACAACGAAATCGAAACCTTTTGTGTGTAATTTAAGACAGTTTAGTTGCTTCAAACAACAATTAAAAAACAATATGAAAAACTAATTCATGTCAGCGATTCATGAGAGTGAGTAAATTAAAAAACATACTCACTCAATAAAACAAATGAGTACAACACAATGTTAATATAACATATATCATGAGTACATTTGAACATTTAGATAACTATGTGATCATCGAGAATTCTTAAAACACAATTTGTTTAAATTTTACAAAAATTAGTAGTACATTCAGCACTTATGTAAGAATAAAAATACATTATAACAACATTCACTTAAAAGATAAAAGCAGTTAGGTACAATAAAAAAAAACTGACCGAGCATAAATCAGAAGTAAGCCATCATCAAGTCACATACGTAAGATAGCTAGAAGTAAATAGTTAACAAATTGAATGATATAACATTCAGATATACATATTTATTTGTAATTAGTGATTTGGAAATAAAATATAGAAACTCCTACCTGTATATTACAAACAATAACGATAATAGCAACTACTAGAAAAAGGTACTATTGTGGTGTGAGGTACTTACATTGATATAAGTAGTATATAACGTGCGTTAAAACAACGTAATGTCTAGCAGCGGAAGACGGCAAAGATCAAGAAAGGTAGAGCGAGAACACAATGGAATTTGTAAGAAAATGCATGAACAATGGATTGGTGTTTGCAACAGAAACAGTCCAGTTTGGTTTGATGCATGAATATTTTGCAAATTGACGGTTTACTGTATGGTATTCGGATTTTGTTGAGATAGTCTGTAATTGTTGTGCTAGATACATCCGTTTGTCGCCACCCGTATTCTTGTTCACTACACTATCATGTAAATGTCTATAACTGCAGATAACTACACGGAAGTATCGCGAAATTGGTGTGCTTTCCTCTCTTATTCCCTACCTTAAAAAATCCCCATAGTATATCTTATTTAACATTGAACAGTGTGTTATAACGAGGATTTAACTATTTTATCTAAGATTGTATATTTGACAAAGATCTGTTGAATAGCAAGGTTGGATATAAAATACTTTTACTTATTTTATACTACTTGTAAGTAAGCAAATATTCTCGATTATAAGTATGAACCTAAAGCATATGAACGTTTTCATAGAAATTTAACTGCTCATCAGAGTAAAAATTTAATACACTTACAACACTGTAAAATAAAACTAGATACTATAATTTTTTTGACTTATTTTATATATAAGTACTTACAGTAAGTTAATTAGTTTTTATATACGTTCAGCGAAATACCTTACATTTCGATTAAAATGCAATCATATATTTACGTAATAACGTATATGTAATATCAAATAATAATGATGAGATAGTCTTCACAAAGGTTGTATGACTATTTTGGATTTTTACGACAATCGGCATGTCAAACATAATGAAAACGTGGATGAATTAAATTTGACTGAGAACTTAGAGATTTGTAGTCTCGAAAATGATATACCACTTCCTTTTTTTTAAATAGCAGACAGTAATTTTCTCTTTAAATAACAAGTCATGATTATATTTCTATATTATTTCCGATAAGTGACTTCATTACAAACGTGACTAATTCATATCAATTAAATGTACCCAGTCTACAAACGTTCATGAGAAATTAGTTATTACATCTGGATTACACGAATTATATGAGCCCAATTCTAGAAACTTCTTTGACAGATTACAACACAATCATTATCAGGTTATACAATGCTACATTGCAACCACAATTTTATAAACGCTTTTTTTTCTATGAAATAAAAGAATGTGAAGTATTAAAGGTGTTTAGAAAAAGTGAACACTCCGAATAGTCAATACCGTTTTTCTTTGTAAAATTGAAAAGATCACCCACTATTTGAATAACAATAACCCCTAACTATTCATATCAATCAGTATTATAAAACATAACAGATCAGTAAACTAAATGTTTATTTTCAGATTTTTAAAAAAAAAACGAAAAAAACAACTTGCGTAACAGATTTTAAGCGAAATAATATAATAAAAATGTGAGTTACTGGGAAGAAAAACCAAGTAGGGAACAAAAGATTATTTCTGAGAAATTATAGTACCTAGACAAATAAAGCAGTGAGTGAATATTACGGTAAGAGATTGTGATAAAGCAAGTCAATAATGTTTGGCGGGAAAAGTAAAATGCAAATGAAATATGATTGGTTGTATTTCTATTTGTAATTTTTTTTCCACAAAGATTTTGTGCAAAATTAAAAACAAAACAAACTATGACGTGTAATGAAGGCACATTAAACAAAAATAATTATTAAATAGCTTGTTTCACTTGTGATAATTGAGCATTTCGTTTTCCTAAAATATTCATAAGATTTTTACTCATATAATATGGTCTTTCAGCAGATCCGTCATTCTTTTCTAAATCTTCCACTATATAAAAAATAATGAAAATAAAATTGAAAAAATGTAATAATGATTATTCATTGATGAAATTAATAGTCTACTTTGAAAAGAGTACCATATTAGTTATAATTTAATTCTAATATTTTCACCTAATTAAATAGATTGTAAATTTGAGTTCAAAATAATCTGTTCACATTGTAATATATCGAACGAACTTATTGTCAACAGTCATCTTATCAAAGATGATGAGAATTCTAAGATTCTTGAAGTGACCAACATATGCAATGATCGAATTAGATAATTACACAAGTTAATTTGATAAAACACTTCTTTCTGAAGGATGAGAAGTGATTTCCAAAGCAATTTAACTGAATCTTGTAGATACAGGATTATGTGCTTTGAGTATTGCATATCAACGAGAGAAGTCCTGAACAAAATACTAACGGAAGAGAGTTAGGAAGAAAATATTAACCCCAAAATCATAACCGAGACAAAACGTAAGGTGAAAAATCAACAGCTAATATAGATGATAGCTCTCAAAAACTGAGACTCCACTTTGCACATCCAACTAGAAGGCTTCCACAATGGTGATGGATTATTTGTTTTATTTAAAAATGACAGAAGCAACCAAAAAATCCCTAAACAGAAAGGATCCAATCCCCCCTAGAATCAGTAGAAACACTTGTGTTCCTGAATTTAAGAGGAACTATATAACTGGTCAATACATTCAGCTAAACAAAAAACAGTTAAATGATGATTGAGATGTGATTTAAGAAATTGTGTGACAAAAAAGCAACTAAACAGATTGAAATACTTAAAGAAAATAACAAGGAGACCTGAAGAATAAAATGAATCTATTCTTCTTGAAGGCTTCTCGTCAGTTACGAACAGTTTGATACTACAAGTAGTAATATGATAATAAACAAAGTGTTAATATACTTTAGTTTACTTTATGTAAACGAAATAAAGTATGTTAAAACTGTAATTTAGGGCTCTTTGCAGCTGATGAGAAGCACTGAATCACAATGAATTCAATTTATCCTGCCAATCACATTGTTAATGCCTTGCTTAAGTTTATCTAGGGATTAAGTATAATATCAAAATTGGTTACAAATATAAAGAATTATATAAGGACTCATATACTGTGGATTTTCATCAGGTTTTTCATTGCTTTCAGTATGTTCTACTGTACAGAAACAAGGAAATAATATTGGGAAAATGTATTGCTGATAAGATTATCTATCAATGAAAATAGAAGTTTTATGTTATCGGTTTAGCTTTATGAATAACACACCAGTTAGAGTGAAATTGTAATACTTTGATGGAATCCACTAAGCGATGACTATTTACCAACTTGTCTAAGAAAACGTACATTGTCAAAAATTCAAAATAATATGCGAAAATATTACGCATTATTACGGTAGTTGTAGAGTCACCATACGAAAGTATTGGGTTAGAGGGGCTCATATAAGAATATTTGCAACGTAATTTTGAAAGACATTATTATGATACTAAATACTTGATATTGTTGTACATATATGATGATAGACAGGAAACCAGTGAACTTGACTGCACAATAACTAATTTACATTGACAAATGTCAAGGTTTTTTTTCAACAACCGAAGATGAAAATCCAGAAATTAACTAAATGAGAAATATCCTCGCCTATTTTAGTGTTTAAGGCCAAACTATATAATTACACTAATGAACTAAGGAATTATGTAACAAGATGCGACCACAAAATAATTAAGAATACAAAGAATGTTGTTAAGTACTTACAAAAGCAAAGAAATATTGTATCGACACCCATTTCAAAAACACTTGCGAATAATGACGCCACAAGGTAAGATGCAAGTATGATAATCTAAAAATGTATAACAAGAAGAATATGGAACACATTTTACAGTAAACTAAATGAAATAAACAATATATCAAGATAAATAGTGTACATTACGTAAGCGACAAAACAATTTCCTTAAACTTAGGTCTATAATGTATTATAACTTGTTGGAACAAAAAGTAATGATTTATCATAAATTAAAGAATATGCTAGCAAGGATTTCGTAATCCCCCCCACTAAACCACTTTGAACAAACTATTTTTAGTCAAATACTAATTAAGTTCTTTTTTATTTTTTTATTACCTGACGTGTATTCTCATACTCGCGCAGCTCTATTCATGCGTTACCTTCCTCTAAGTAATGAGGTAAAATATTTCTTCATCTCTTCTTTCCGAACTATTTTTTTAAATGTTTAGCCTTTCTCGTTATCACAGATGCTATTAATATATGAACGATCTAACTAGTAATCTTGTTAATTTCTTCAAGCTGTATTGATGTGGTATGACGTCGTGAGCTAATATACATTTATGCTAGGCTCTAAATTGTCCATATGAGTGACTGACTGAACATGTATGAATACATCTTATTTTGCTTTAAAAAATGTCAAGTGGAGGTTTGTAGATCGGGTGAATGATTTTGGTAGACAAAGAGGATGCCCTATTCATTTTTGCCTGAACGAACATCAATTTGCGGCCAAACGTCATGATATATCCTTGCTTATGACAATCTATGTAAACAACTATGAACATACATTTGATTGGGGAAATATTGAGATCTTGAATACAGATAATTCTAAAAACACCAGAGAATTTTTAGAAGCTTGGCACTCAGGCTAATCTACAATCAACAAGCACATTGAAATAGATTCAATTTATTAACCAATCATAATAATTATGGACAAATATAGGACCAAAAATCAAACAAATGGGAGATACAATCAAAATAAAGGAGTAAACAATGATAGGTTAAATGTCAACAATAACCAATCAAGATGGACGTCTATAAAACAGGCTGTGAGCCACACGCGGAGAAATTCGAATACTTCACTTCTACCTGAATTTCGTGCTGATGATGTTGTTCAGAAGAACGATGGAAGCTCCACGACTAAACCATCTAGTTCAGAGAACACAACTCCGCCAAAATGTCAAGAATATAGCAACTTTGAAATTATTGTCTAAACCCAAATTCGAACAAGCAATACAACATACAACAAATGTACAAAATAACTCAGTGTTATGTATGAACTCATGAAAGAAAAGAACAGTGAAAACATTCGTCATGATGAAAGAAATCTTGAACCGATTAAAAGATGAAATAAACATGCAATATTTAAAAATACATCAAAAATAAGAAAGTGAAACTATAAACAAATACAATAATAAGATGTAACTTACACCCAATGGCACGAATGCATAATGAAGATTAGAAGTAAACGCATCAATTAGAAAGTCATTCCCTTTGAACAATATACCTTCCAAATAGACATAAGCCATACCACCTGAATTCAAAAAAATTATGATCCATTTTAGATGGCAAAAGACAGGAAAAAATAACTAGTAACACAAGGCGAAATATTATTAGTTGAAATGGTTACATACAATTTTAATGGTATTATTCTTTATATTCACCAGAGAATGAATGGATTAAATGAATTAGTTTAGACAACATTGTGAATTGATAGTAACCATTACTGTACAATGATACAAACCATGGTATGAAGTCTCAAATTTAGCATTTTATAAACTAACAATGAATACAACACAGAAAATTACTGTGTGAGATCCATGCATGATACGCGTAACATAGAAATTTTTAAATGAGACTTGACAGCATGCTAATACACAGAAGACATTAAATAAAATTTCGAATTGTCATAGTAGAAATCACTTACGCTTAACGATGATAAACATTCGGGTGACCAAACAAGGCCACCACGAAGAATGAAATAAAGGTCAACTATAAAAATACAACAATTATTTTCAATAGAAATTTGTATAGTATTGTTATTGGTTAAGTTTTTAACAACTTGTTTCAACAGATCCCAAGGTCGATTTATTAAAACCAGCTTAAGCAGTGAAATCGTTATTCGGTAAAGTCGGATTCAAGTATTAATGATCATTATGAATACTATCTATCTTTCATGACCAAACTAACCAATAACTGATTTCTGAAGGATATCAACAACAATTAATTCTTTCTTTTTAAAATATGTCAAATACAAGTTAATTTTTTCCCGAACACATTTTCAAAAAATATACCAATCAGATTTATACCTTATCATTCTCGCATATTTATTATTGATAGAACAAAACAGTTAAAATAACCCATTGTGTCATTTCAGTGAAGAAATTTTCTTCGCTGAATTCTTTTTACTTTTATTCAAAAAAGTTGGTATTATGCAAAATTGTCATTACACACATCGCTGATACAAAACTGTACAGGAAATGTCCTTATTAAACCTTAAAATGAACCAGTAATACAATGTTATGGTACAGTAAAAAAATAACCCTACTCAAATATTATTTAGCCATGTTCACATAAAATTCAAATATGTTCACTTACCAACAATACTGACAACAACAAGTTTTCCAATAAATAAAATAAAATCAGTCACTTTATCGACCACAAATAATCTATGCATAGAAAAACAAGAGATAATAAAACTACGTATGAGAGTCGTTATCAAACTGTTATAAAGAGAAAAAGCTATGAATGAAAAAAAATTTCAGAATAAACAGTAAGTTTCCCTTGAAAATACTGCAGATGAGTTTTCAGCAGAAAGGATATATATATATATAAACAATAGGTCACCTAAGTTTTGCACACATCCAGTGCAAAAAAACAAACGTCGAGAAAATTTTCTTCCATGAATTATCTTAATTTTTCTTCAATCATACAAATAATCATTTGTGAAATCAGCCAATAAACTACACGTTTCCTACTAACCAAATTGAGGATTGAATGGGTTTCAAACATGAGACATAATAATTGATTATTTTCACTTAGAAATTAATTTGTATTTAGTGAGACAAGTAATCGATTAAAACAAAGGTGTTTAGTAATAAAGCATACACTAGTTATTCCAATATGAGCGGCCAGATTATTATTATAAGCATTATTCAATATCATATGTTTAATACAACATAGAATTGTCAGCACAAAGTATTTCAACAAGTTTCCGTCTCATACTTTTTGGCCGAACCTAACGATAAATATTGAGCAATCGGCAGTTAAAAATTAACAGTTTAGTAAATCGACATCTAAATAATGTACATTCTTTTCGCTGCATATTGCCAACAACCACGATATCTCTGATTGGGTTTTTTATAACTTGTACGACGAAAGGTTATACACCTTTTAGAAACTCACCTGAATAGGTTAAGCGATTAATAACGTATTAAAACAAACAAAATTAGATAACTTGTTGAAATATCTACATGTCAGAAACAGATAGTTTAGATGTTCAAGCTACTCAAAATAACTGAAGTTTAAAGTGATCTGTGACAATCTGTACATATTTCTGGACTTTCTCAATTACATATAACTATAGTTATGATATATAAATTATATTGATAAATATTTCATAGCGCCTATCCCCTACGTAGTCGATAGTAAAACAGTCAACTTGAAAAAAACACATCGTAAATACAGATTTCGGGAAAAAATATTATTTAGAAAGAAGGAAACATTTACAATTTCTAACATTATTCTACAATTTACAAGAGATGGATTTAAAAGATAATTTACAAAATGAAATAAATAAATAAATGTGATTGACACTAAATATAAACAAACGATAAAACAATGAAATAGTAAAGATTCATTGAACAAAAAATGGTTTCTTTAAAATAAGAAAATAAAACTATATTGAACAGGTTTAAATTGCAAAACATGTGGATGTATTGAATCTATTTTAAATAAAAATTTTATATACTATGTTCATATACATGTACCTGACTACATTACGCGCAAGTAAAGACAATGCTGAACGAGAGGCCGAGCAAAAACTTTGACCATAGATAGCAATCTAAATGGAATTTTTAAAAATAAAGAAAAAAAAGTACTATGATAAATATTATTTTCACTTCGAAAGTTTACTTTTGTATATTTTACAGTGAAGCATATCGATAATAATAATTCTTGTTTTACAGTTCATATGCATGCAAAGTATCTGATTAGGGACAATTAAAGAAACTTGAAAATACAAAAAAAACTTATTATAAACTGATTTTCATTAACACCTATTGATTGTGATGTTAAAGAAAATTCACGCTCGAAATAAAATCTTAAAGCTTTTCTAGATTCTAGTAAACCAAATAAGAATGAACATTCAATTAATCGATATTCAATTTATGATCAATTCACAGTTGTTGTACATCCATAATAACGCAGTAGCAATTTAAACAAAGTATGTGGATGAAAGCATAGAACAATCTATTATTTCTGATTAAACGACAAACTACATAATTATCTACAATACTGGATGTTAAATCATCAATTAGATAGTTCTAGAAAAACCCCTATATACTATCGGTAACTGCTGAGTATAATAATATCTTAACGTTTTCAGAACAAAACACGAAATGTACGTCAATAACACTCGTCAGTCATGTTTTAATACTTTGATTTCAATAAGTAGAAAGCTGAATCATTTAATTGTGTATCAAAAAGTTGAAAATGGACTCGAACAGTGCATTAAAAGTTATTTGGAATGTTTACATTTTATGCAAGAAAAAGGTATTCTAACGTGTACATATATGAAAGAAAATACACACAAACCATAAACTAACCATAGATTTTACAGGCCACAATAATCATAAATGTAAGAATAAACTTAGAAATCAAGAAAATGTTATGAACCGATAAAATGGAAAATTTCCTAGCTGCAAACGATTTTTTTGTAATTACACTGATAAACATTATACAAAACATGTAAACAAAACAAAGAAAACCTATATTCAAATTTACAATCCAATAATCTTTACTTATGTTAAAAATGAATGATCACAATTGTTAATATCCGATACCAGTCGATGAATTTTGGCATCGCTAGTTTACTAAATATACTACAGTTAAATTCTTTCATCTTTTGCAAAACATAAATACACAATCATACGAAGGATTCTGCAGTAAAACTAATCCTGGTACAGCCGAGATTGCGGGAAGTCGGCTCTCTTCGAAATGCTCTCATATGACCACGTGTATACAGCCACCACCAGGGTAGTCCGACTCACTATCTTCCCGCGGCAGAGGTGTTGTTTAATAAGTTGAGAGGACGAAAAACGAATATCCGGAGTTTGAACCGCGTTAGTGGATACTGTGGGTCCACCTAGGGGAGTTAGAAAACCCTGATTCAAACCAATGGTGTACATGGGCTCCAGGGTCCTAAAGGAACAAGTAGAGTATGAACCAACTGTTGGTCACCGGATACTATGGGACTGCATCTCCTTACACTGCCCCACTGTCTTCTGGATTAAACCTTTAGGTCAAAAACTCGAAGAAAACCACCTGCTTCAGGTAGAGCATCCGAGCAGTGTCCCAGCTCTCGCATATATCGAATGATTTATGTGGCGCATATCTGTTTGGTACCTCCTTGTACCATTGTTTATGTGTTTAAATAAATAAACTAACCCAAACGTTTTAGACACAAAGTCGATTAAAAAGCTATGATCAATTTATTTTCGAAATGTTTGACAACCTATCCATGTATATGTGTATCTGTGCTATAATCAAATAGGTCGATAAAAACAAAACATGATAATATAATTCTTAATATGAACAGGTAGAACGAGGGTATAAAAAACATATATGAAGTCGAGTTATCTAAGTAAATTTATTTTGCAACCGCTTTCACAAGCAACTTATAGTATTGTATCACACTCGTAAACTACGGTCATCACAACGTTATCTTTTAAAATTTAGCTCTATGATTCATGCTTAACATTTAAACTACTGATCAAATGTAGATTTTGCAAACTACATTTACACACTAAATTGCAAATTATGTAAATATCTGGAAAAAATCACTTCGAATAAATAATAAATAGATTGTAAATAACGCATAAACGTTTTCATAAGTTAAAATCAACATAGTTGACAGCAAATGAATAGGAAGAAAGACAAAAGGATAATTAATTATGTGAACATTAGAAAAGAGAATGTATATTGATGTGTTCATGACTAAGTACGGACGTATTATAATTGAAACTCATTGAACTATATTTCAAAAACATTCAGTATATTACCGGAAAATAAAAACTTACCATAATAAAAGCATTTCTATTAAGAAATCTTAGAAATTTCTCAAGTAGCCAAAAACAACAACTTAAACATTTCAAGAGAAAATTTGTAACAGGATTATTAGCTTTCTTCAATTTTGCACTGATATATTCAAGTGTAACACGTAGCCATTGTAATAAAGCAATTAGAAACGATCCAAATGCTAATGAACCAGTATGATAAAAGGTTGATCGAAATAGACTTGTTAATAATGGACATTTTGACGCTGATTTTTGATTATGAGACGAAAAGTAGTATTCAGCAAATGTTCCTGCTAAAGTCATTTGTGTTAAGGATTTGACAAAATTGATTAACCAAAAAAACATGAACAAATTGAAGAATTGTAGGTAGATAGTATATCTAAAATAGAAAAAAACACAGCAAAAAAAGTATAAATATGTATGTGATTGTGTGAAGTAGAATTTAATTTAAGAACTGTGATTGTGATCTTAACACAGTAACTATTTGTTATCTAAATACATTAAAGGTGCATTGAAAAAGTTTAGTATCAAAGACTATATATATCAATTTGTATTAATATACTATGAGGATGGAGAGAATCAGCTCTCCCCTCGAAATGCTCTCACAAGGCCATGCGTATACAGTCACTGCCAGGGACGTTCGGCGCCTTAACTGGGTTGGTGGAAACTCATGGTCCATCTAGGAGAATTGGGGAAAACCTGATTCAAACCAGTGGTGTACATAGGCTCCAGGATCCTGAAGGAATAAATGGTGTCTAAACCAATTGTTGGTCACCGGCTACTATGGGACTGTATCTTCTTACGTTGCTCCACTACCTTGTGGATTGGACCTGTAGATCAAAAGCTTGGAGAGTAGCCTGTTTGTAACAATGATTATGTGTTTAAATAAATAAATAAACTATGTATCATTTAAAGACAATGAATTTTATGACGATCATACAAAGCGGAGTTTCATTGATTAGACAAATTTATTGCATGAAAAAAATCCCTTGGCATAATTGTAGTCTCACTAGTTTAAATATAGAGTTAATTAACCGAGATGTCAAGATCGAATCATTAATTCTTTGAATATTTCAATATATTGTAACATAAAACATCACGGAATGAACTACGAGAAGTACTACAAGTTAATTGTGTTTTGAAACTTCGACTGATGAAATTTCAATTAACTGTTTATCAGTAATGAAAATAATAGACATCCTGTGTGTGATTGACAGTGGTAACGAGAGAAAAACGTATAGGAAAACCATGGTGACCCGTCGTAGACAAGACACTGGGTGAATATCTGAGTTTACACTTAACAGTACTCTATCGCTAACTTAGATTATCATACAATAACTTACTTCCGGTCTCCATAATACAGAAAACGACAAGCTTTGCCAGCTGAATTGTTTTGCTACAATAAAACGAATTGGTCGAAAAATAGAAAAAAGTAATGTTTGTCATTGACATGTTATGGTAAAGAATACAAATAAATTTTTAATAAGCATTAATTTAATAGAAATAAATGTTGTAGTGAAGTGTTTCAAGTTGAACAAATACTCTAAAGCACATTCATAATTTTTATCTTAAGCCGCTTGATTACCAGTATTGTACTTATCTTCTTATTGAATTGTGACATCTTAAGTCTCAGATCACGGCGAAAGATTAATAAAGTCTATTGCGGACAACAAGTGTTGGACTATGGGATAGATAAACAACGAAATGACATTTAACAGGCACACAGGACATTTGATTCATGTGCGGGATTTCGGTGTACCATTTTTATTATTTGATGGGTGCCAAAATTTATCAAACACCGACGGTCAGTCGCACAAAATTAACATAAACTCAATCAAGCAGGACCAACTACTGAATTACTAAGACGTATAAAAAAATGGAGCGAACGATCATCTATTTCAATAATATTAGGTTGTGATAAATAAAATAAAGCACACAAATATTTTATTCTAATAAACTTAAATCTCATACTGTAACACACTAGTATAAATCATTTTGAAGAATCTATGAATGAACCAAAAGAAAGCATGTATTACATTGCATATATAATTAATCTTACTAAAGGATCACATGGGATAAGTTGAAAAATTTCTCTTATATCATTTCTAGCCTTATCGCCAAATCCCGGAGTTACGGTAGGATCATCATTCATAATTTTAGTCCCAACAGGATCAGATATTGTTCGCAATGAAATAGCCACAAATAAAACTTGAGCAATAACAATCAATTCAAGAATGAACGGTAGTATTGGCCAAAACAATACAGATGTCATAGTTGAAACTGCTCTGAAAGAAATATGTCGGAAAAATTATAGACCATATTCATTTTATTATTTATCATAATTCTATATCTTTTTTAAACTAAAAGGGGAAAAATGTTAAATTATATCTGTCAGCGGAAATAAATAACAGAAACTTTAGCACAAGTAAACATACTTGCTTGCTTCGTTTAATATTGCAATAGCCACACGAATACGCTTGCGTAAAAATATTAATATTAGAAGTATGATCACCAGTAGAATAGCAAAAATAATTCCTACAAGTGAAAAAAGGTATTACTTATTGGTCAAAGAATATGAAAACGTCTGAATCATACCAACAAAAACGCACCTGAAAACATCTCATTGAAATTAAGCGAACTAACTGATTTAACATACAATTTACATCAAATCGAACCATCCTTAAAGGTAATTCGATTATTCGATTAGTTAGATGTTAGTGACTCAAGAGTTCTGACCAAATTTGCAAGATGCCTTGCAAACTTTGGTTAAAGTCCCTCACGGACTTAAGAAAACAAAAATTTTATAAAATATATAACTAACCTAATGCAAGCCATGTTGATGCTAAACGGAAATACGAAGCAATATCCAAAGAGAATTCAAGGTCATGAGAACCCTCAGTTGTTTTACGTAATACACTCCATCTATAAAAACAAAACCCAGTACCTAAAAGTAAAAAAAAATTCCATGATAAAAACTAAAAAATGATAGTTTGACAAACTTCATAATTACAATAATACAATGAAAGAGAACAAAAAATGATCCAATAAAATTACAATTTAAGATGAAACTAAATGAATATTTTGTGTACTCAACTTTGAATTATTTCAAAAAAGTCAGTAAAATAATGTGAATAATTACATCTTAATGTTTACAAGTTAAATACTTTCAATAATAAGTTATATGAGTGGGTAATTTTGTTTATATACATATAGCTGAAGCCATAGGAGTTCGTACATGTAACCCCAATTTATGTGTACGGAAGAAATTCGTAACCCGCCTATACCTTCTACGGCCAGTTGTAACTTAACAAACGATTTTTTTTAGGTTTCGTTATTATTACTTATTTATTTTATTCTATTTTTGTTATCATTAACCTTATTTTCACATCCATTATTTGTTTGTAAGTTTCCTCCTCTTTCTGTTTGTATTCTTCACTATCTAATTATTTACACACATCTTATTACGTAATAATTTTAATGTTTTGTGATGACTATTCCAAGTCTATTTACCCACGTTTGACCTTCTATTTCCAACGTTTAACTATTGATAAGACTTTTTTTGTTGTGTTTTATTATTGTTACTACTATCAACTTGTATTTTTACTTATTATATGTGGTGACCTATTCTATTTCATTGTGATTATTGACCCATATTGCCTTGATTGGTTTAACATTTTCGTATAAATATTCATGTATATTAGAGTAAAGCCTGATGATGATCTAATTGAAAGCAATTGTTCGCTGATATGTGTTGTTCTATATACAAGGAGACCAGTAATATCTAGAAAAGAATCTTGTAATGCTAATTACAAAAATCTGTTTTTTTTTTAACATACTGACTAAAATGTAAACACTGTATTAAAGAATATATTGAAATTGATCAGTAATTTAATATAATAATATCTTTATGAAAAATGATCATTGAAATCATTTAATATTTATGTTATACAATTTATTTATTAATGAATAACTTGATAAAGGTATAATTCTACAACAACAAAAATTAAAACTATTTGAATACTAAGAATATAGACATAAATGATAATATGCCATTATCATTTCACCGACAGAATCATGAGTCCATTTCGGAACTAGATAAATACTGTGCATAAGCAAATAATAATACAAAGTATGAAATCGATATCACGAATTATTTCTTTACCAGTAATAATACTTTGAGGTATTGTGAAATCAATGGAAACAAAATTGATTGTACACACGTACATTGATCTATTTCCATGCTATATATATATATATATATATATATATATATATATATATATATATATATATAACGTATAAATCGAATGAAAACGGCGATCATACGTCAAAATTACTATCGTGATAACTAACTAACTAACCGAAAAGAAATGAAGATAATGTTTAGAAATAAACACATGGCATACTGACTTTGATAAATACGGATTAATATGGGAATTTCCAAGTGATATCATTTTGAATCCACAAATTTGACAAAAACAAAGCAGAATATACAGCTTACAGTTGTTTACATACAAACAAAATCTTTTAATTGATCATATAATGATCATTATTTAACTAAACAATCGCTATTAAGAACGGACTAACTAATTTTTAACGTAGATAATTTTTTTCTAAGTTAAAAAGAACAAACATGAAAATACTGTCTCTTTGTTATGAATAACAATAATTAGACAAGAGTATGACAAAAATTACTTATTTAAATCAAAGACAATAATTACCGAAAGAAAACAGGGCGACAAATAGAATGAATGTAGTCCAGACCATAACTGATGCACAACATCGTAATAAAACGATCCAACAAAATGATAACACCACAGATACTGAAATACATCTGGAAATAAAATCATAAACATAATAAATAAAGTTTATTTAATATGTGAGAAATGTATATGCAAAAGAATCTTAAATTACCAGAAAAACAAGAAAAATCGTCAAAAACACACCAACAAAATAAATATTAACACGTAAATAATTTTTTTTCAAAAAAACACACATCGGAAACTGTGTTTACACATCGTAACTATAAAAGCCGTTTAATAATTCATATTCTATTGTTATAAACTGTTATTCTCAAACTCAATGTGCCTAACATAATTAATCTATAGTTAGTTACATAAACGAATTATAAGATTTTTTGGCTTACGAGAACTGTACTTAAGAACTACGTTTGCACAGAATTTAATTGGTGAATTTGATTGAGTAAAATGGTATTAAACAGGAAACAATACAAAGTAAGCTCAGGTATTCTATAAAGAAAAACAAGCCTTGAGAAGGATTTTAAGGAAGTAACTAAAGTTTTTACTTATCTCAAATACTTAGTTTTATTAACAGGTGGTTGGCAAAAAACTTTAGATCGAGGTTTCGTGCCGAGGAGCACCTGTAATATTCAGAATAGATGCTACTTGTGGGATTTGAACTCGGATCACGGACACAAGTATTTAGCTATCCAATACCTGATAGGACAAAAATATTTATAACTGACTGATCACTAGGTAGTGACGAATGTCATGTTTGTTCATGTACGTAGGTTCATATCCTACAAGAAGCATTAAATCCTTCAAGATTGTAGATGGACCTTGGTGACGAGTGATAACTGGCATGAAACTTATATTCAGAGTCTCATACCAACAACCACTAACCACCTAACATCCTGCCATTGTGCACAATGTCGCTTCACTCAAAGAAGTGGACACTTCAACTTGATCGGAAGAATACGATCAGCACCAAAGAACTGGACACGTATGACTCCGGTCACTACAAAGTAATTAATTATAAACTTAGCTTAATGCCAAAGGTAGAAGAAACTCGTTTACTGATGGGGCAGAATCGTAAAACCATTCATTAGTGAGATTTAAAGCATCATAAAAGGATGAATAAAAGGTTTTAAGTAAGGAAGATGTGACGGAAATTTACGAGAAAACGGACGGTCCAGGGAAAATTCGCAGCTAATGAATATTCTAATATGATCATGTTTAACGTTGGGTTAATGAAATATACTAATATATTCAACATATGCATGGATTATCATATTTTGTTTCACTAATTATATGGCACGTTTCATCATTAAACATTAACTATATCACTGAAGACGATCGGTCATAAGAAACTTTAAAAAAAACGAAGACTTTATATGCATAAATTATGCTACAAAAGTGTTTGCTAATCTGAGTGTACTATATCGGTTTATTTTTCTTCTAAAACAAAGTGCACATGCCAGAAAATAAAACCAATTCATACATACAAACACACAAAGTGCATCACAGTTTCATAATAATAATTTCATAATATAATTACACTAAGGACAAATGTAAATAGTTATCGAATATCATTTAAAAAAGTAAATGCCTTTTGGAGATATTTCCGTGGAGAAATTTTTTTCCGCCGATATCGTTTTCTTAAGCCATGCAATCATTTGTGTAAGTTATTTTTATAGTAAGTAGTCTACTGTAAAATAGAGGAGTGTCAAAAGATTATCAACGATAGTCAAACGTATTTAAGTATCGGATGTAAAAGTCTATGAAGATGAAGTGGTGTTGGGTAGTAGTAGTGTAGTATAATAAAGTCGTCAAAAATTGTCAAAAGATATCAAGTATTAAATAAAATAAATCTATAAATGAATGTTAATTCACAGTAATTAAAGTTTTTGAAAGTTTTCCAGGTACTGAATAAAATGGGTGCTGTATCATTTAGAAAAGTAATCAAAATTATCAAGAAATAAGGTTGCGTAATAGTTTGGAAGTAATAATCTAAATAATAAGTGCCGAAACCAACTGTCGACTTTACAAAGAAGAAGGTGAAGACTAAGATAATAATGACCACCTACAGTTTGTAAGATTAGGAGGGGCATTAAAACCATGGAAGAACAAAGGGTCGAGTATAGTTCTTTTGTACAGAGAAGTCGGGCTTGAAATTATAGATTGATATAGCTTTAGCTTTCTACAAATTGCTCATCAAAAACTTCTCTAGGCCAGTTCTTATAACTTTATAGATGATCTTGGTGGCATATGACTCGAGTTGACCACGTATTCAACGATTGAGCTGTTGATTAATTTGCGCTCCCCTTTAAAGTCATGTATAGTAGTGCTCTGATATTCGTTTAAAAAGTACAGGCTTGTAGACAACATTACCTGCACCACAAAAGCAAGTATTTTATTATTTATTTGAACACATAAACATTAGTACAAGGGGACACCAAATACATATGCGCCACGCAATGGCAGTGAGGCCAAGTAGCAGTTATCATTGATTTGTGTGAGGGCTGTGATACTGCCCGGGTGCCCACTGAGGTGGCTCAAAACAGCAGTTTACCCTTGACACTTCCCTGAATTAGTTTTTTACTAGGAAAAAGAATTCGGAGGTCCGATAAATCAGATATTTTTCTCGGGGATCTAAACATTCTGTTCTAAAGTATCTCCATAGTCGTATCTCCCCCAAGTTCAATGTTCATCAATAAAACTTTTCCCAGTACAGTGAGAGTACTTTTAATTTGACGTTTTGGTTTCAGGCTATTATTAATGAGCCTGCTTCAGTTTGGGCAGCCGGGCAGTATCACAGCCCTCACACATATCAAATGAGATTTGTGTGGCGCATATGTATTTGGTGCCTCCTTGTACCAATATCGATGTGTTAAAATAAGTAATTAGTGAGCCTGGGCAGAAAACCATTCTTCAGAAGTGTTTGTCAGATTCTGTGCATATTCTTGAGGATAGAGAATGGATTATATTTCCCTTCATACTCAACGGCACCCAACCCTGGAAGTTCATATAATTCCTGTACCAGGTTGGCTTTCTGTATATCGATCATCGTACGGGCCCATCTGGTCTTCGTTTCAATAAAATATCAAAAAAATGAATTTCTAACCTCAACTCCGATTTTATTATGAACGTGGTCGAATAGTGGTAATTGTTGAACTCTTGTAATATTTGATTAAGATCACTGTTACCGTTATAGATGTTAAAGGCATCATCCGTATATCCCTCAGAAAAATAAAATTTACTGATTGTGTCTCTAAGGTTATTGTCCTCCCGGTTGACTATAAAATTCTTTTCGAAGACCCAACGAAGATCTCACTGTAACATCATTTGTCTGTAGAGATAGTCTTTAAATTTAAACTGCACGTTGGAAATTCAAGTAATTTGATATATTAATTACCATGAGTGAATAGATATTTATTTGACTACAGTAGACTCTAACATGAGTTTGGCCTCATGTTTAGAAAACAACTTGCTATCTTATCTTATAATTTGGAACTCAGCTGAACCTACCTGCATCCCGGAGTTGATGTTCACCTTGGGGAATCAAACAGATCACTCTTCGCTTCAAACGCCATCGCATTATCCACATAGCTAATGAGTCCAGATAGCGACTCATATACCCGTATGATCCCTTACACATTAAATTACTCCATCTTAATTTTGTACATGGAAAAATCCTTTCATTTCTACTGCATTATTATGAGAACAGTATCTTAATAAACAAAGTAGAACAATGATATCTAATTCATAATACTGCAATCAAACGAGTCATAATAATTTCTGGACAGAAAGCGATGAATAAGTCCACAAATTCGGAAAATCGATAAACAAATTGACAGGAACAAAAATAGGTGAGAGTAAACACAGGTATTTCCCAGACTAACTTGTCAAATTTCCAGTCAACACAACAACGAGAAATCAACAAGAATAGATTTAATTATGCTGAATGAACAATATAAAGAAACAGTTAAAAATCAATCGAAAGTGAAGGGAAAAAATACCACATTCAAGATTTTGAAGAAAATGAAGGGATCCATATAGGCTACTACAACCGATATTACACCACTGCACAAATTGGAGAAAGTTTGTAAACTACCACAAAAAAACTGTATCATCCGACAAGGTAAGCTCAAAAAATAAATGAAGTCAATGACTGATCCTAGGATGCAATCTAACCGTTCTTGGACTTCTCCTTAGTCATCAAAATGATGCTGAATAAGTGCCTATGTATGTGATACATGTGATAAGAGGTTTTGTGATACTTTCCAATACTACGGAACAGCCAATTAAGATTTAGTTAACATAAGAAAACCTACCAAAAAAAAACTAGAAATTAAATCAAAACAGTGATGCTTACACTAATATAACATGCCAGGTTTGGCTTAGATCAGAAACAACTTTTTCAAAGAATGTAGTAAATTCCAACACCAATCTGAAAATAAACAAGAAATATTGGGAATACAGCCGAACAATAAAAAAAATGGATTTAGTCAATAACTAACTCAACATTAATCTATAGACGTAACACTCAAACAAAGGATATGTGCTTAGAGTTGTAGTAAAAATACTCTTTAATGTGACACTGCATACATAATATCCTATCACAGGTTTCGTGATTACATACAAACATAATATATATTGAATTCGAACGTTCCTAACCGATTCAATTCAATCATAATTCGCATTTTCTTTTTAAAAGAACTCCGTATGCAATCCATTTCGCATTATGATAATTAACGAATATGTGAGCACATTAATAATCATAGGAAAGTTAGATAGCACCAAATAAATATTTCTAAAATATAAGTATAACAATTGACTCTGAAAAGTATATCATGCATCACCAATGTTAGTATGCTATTTGAAAAAGATAATGGTATGCAGATGGAAAATACTCGAAGTTGACACTTTTAATTGTGAATACTAATAGTGACAGAATATAGCAGTTTGCTGTCTTGATTTTTAGATATTATTAGAAATAAGATAAATAGAGAAACAGACTTAGTAGTTCAAGTGACAAGTTATGTGAGAAGGATCAAAACTGTCGAGAGTAATCCCTAAACTAATTCAAATATAAGGATGAATAAGTTTTAGTAGTCGTTTTGCTATAAATTTACAATTATAAATATTGCATTATTAGCCTTCGTTGTAGTGGTTATTAAGAAATTAAAGGATAGCAATTTGTAGTGCAGTAATTTGATTTTATTCAAACTTTAGTAGATCAAACATTGTAAGTGTAGACGGAAAATTTATTTACCACCGAAGAATGAAGACTCAGCGAGTTTTTAAAAAAAAAAAGTTAGATATGTAATTGGAGGAAATAAACTTGTACTCATAATCCGTCACAAATGATTGATCACTGGGTGGCGATCAATGTCATGTGTGTCTAGTCCTTATTAGTGCAGATCGAATGCTATCGACCATGTTGCAATGTGGCCACCAGCCTAGGTGACTCGACATTGCGTGCACTATTGTGAGATTAGATGGTGGTTGGAGGTAGTCGTCAGGAAACCCTGTACCCGGATTTCGTGCTACTTGGCACTTCGTCAGCAAGGTGTACCTGTAATCTTGAGGGAACTGGTGCTCCCTGGCGGATTTTAATCTCGTGTCACCCAGCTTCACAGTCAGAGACGTTACTACTGAGCTATCCGAGCCGCGGGTACAGGGTTTCCTGACGACTACCTCCAACCACCATCTAAACTTATAATCCATGGATGAAATGTATAGTGACTACAGTTATTCAACTCATTTGATAAGAATAAGTAATAAAACAGAAAGGTGAAGTCCAAACACTGCATATTTCCAAGTTTTTTTTATTTTTCAAATGTAAAAAGTGATGAGATATTTCATCTTGTAAATTACTTTTAAAAGTTTTTTTGTATTTCTAACGGTAACCTTTAGCCTAATATAATAATAACTTAATGATTATTACTTAATTAGTGCATATTTTATTATTGAACCTAGATATTAAAACATTAATATATGAACAAAGAATACTCTTTTTAATTAATTCTCTTCAGGTTCTACAATCATAGATCCAAATTAATAATCCAAAATGTGGTCAGGTTAAAAGCAAAATATATTGTTTAAAAATCATAACATTAATAGTAGTAGTATTAACTTGACTTAGCTTATATATTAAATAAAATAATAAGATTTATGATCAGAATAAACCGGAACCATATTTATTCAGATCATTATTTATCTTACAATTTCATTTAACATATCAACAAAATCAAGTCAACAAATTGTATTAGTTATCCTAACACTAACGATTTTAATTGATTTTACAATCCTTAATCTCATATGCTATTATATTTAAACGATGGATTCTGCCTTAAACTTAGCCATTTTTGGATTATTAATTTTGATATGTAATTATAGAATGTAAAATCGTCTAGCAACATTAATGGGAGAATTTAACTTTATGCTATGTATGTTTTATATATGATAATAAAGAACAGAAAATCCTTTCTTCAGCTTAACAGGTCCAATAATATCGGGTATTACTTTTACGGAAGCATACTGTTTAGAAAAGCCATGTTATAACCCGATTTGTTACGCTGTACAAAGTAATACATGGAAAATGTTTTCGAGATACCAGTCCTAAGGTAAGTCTATAGTCTTTTACGACTACTCAAGCTTGTCCAAATCAACGAGCGTCACTCCATTCAGTAAATATGTCCATTTTGAAATGCTTGCTTCCAAGGGTTTATTTTTACCGCACCACAACCACTTTGTTTTTCTGTGTATGCAAGCGCATTTTAAACTATTGTCTAATAATAATGATCAGTTGAATTTCAGTTCCCTCTAAAATAAACAATTAACAAGTGCTTAAAACTCACTGATTTGATGTAATCAAATGGTGGCAAACGAGTCAAAAGAGAAATTTACAGTTTTAAAATTAACTTCTCGGACCATTTGGAGAATTTTGCAAGCTATTAGTAAAATTGGGATTTTCTGTAGCATGAAGAAACAATCTTAAGCTGGGTAAGATCTTACATAATCACCGAATAACAGCTTGGGAAAACACAAAGCAGTAGAAACACCAAAGGAACAAAGCTTTCTGGAGAAACAAACCAAAGAACAAACAAACTAAATATCAAAATGATTAAGAGTATTCTTACTTTCCCAAATATTCATGGACATATAGAACCGGACTAAATTAGATAATATGAACCTTTAGGGTAATTAGTTTGAATATATATGACATACATAACTAGACAGAAAATAAAACACACTTATATTGGTTTCTGGATAAATACCACAAAAGTTGTCAGCTCGACAGCTATATATATTCTCTTAATTCAATCAAGTATTGTTAGCGTAACATAGAATGGATCAAAACATGTTCTGTCCAGGAGCACACAGAGTGGTCTACTTCTACCAAATCAGAGGTAAAGGAAATCGGAGAAGACTCCAGGATCTCCTCGTGTAACATTATATAAGTAGTAACGTTTTTCTTACTGTGATTCACTTCCATTCGACTTGATTCATTTGAAAAATAATTACATACCTGCTCAAACCTTGTTCTAATTCTGGGAACAAGTCGAGTGAGGAAGTGTCCGGAAAAATACTAAGCAAAAAGAGCAGCTGAATCGTATAAGGAAAGACTTGACAAATATACGACAGGTTACACATTATGTTAGCAGCACTACATAGTAGATCGTCGAACAAAATGAAATGAACAACACAAAATACTGCATAAAATGATATTGAGCTACATTGTCACACTTTTAAAGAGCACAGAAAAAAATATACAAGAATCAAGAAAATTGGGAATAGTAACGATAGTTAATAGTAAATAATATAACGTTTTTTTATCATTAAAGAGACGAGGTAGTTTATATTGTAAATTACTTTCGTGAGTAATTTTTTTCGTTTTTAAGGTAACTTTTAATCTGAAGTAGTAATAACTTATGTCTAAATCAGAGCACATTTTATTATCAAAACTACACACATTAATGTAGGGTCATGATGCAAAGTTATTTCTTAGTCGGATTTACTCAGTACTATCATAAAGCTTAAAGGTGAATATTTTTAAGAAAAATACTCTCTAGAAAACAACAATCGATGAGAATGAATTTTAAAGTACTTTCCAGTTAACAAGAAATTCAAGCTAATATTACTAGTATAGTATTTGCAGCTACTCATAGATAACGTATATAAAAGTCGTAACTAGTAAGTTACAATATTTACAAACTACAAATGAATGGCATGTTCATTCTTTTCACAACTCAATTTAAACACTATGACACTCAACTTTAGAAATTTCACCAAGTGGAATTGATTTCAAACCTGTGACAAAGTTGTTAACAATCAATAACTTATATTAGTAACTCACAAACCCTCACCATAAGGAAAGGAGACATTGTGATACGCTAAATGTACAACACAATACAACGCATGTAGATGGTAGCAATAGATATATGCTATAAAAGACATAAACACCATGATACATTAATTTCAACGATTAGTGTTACCGCTTCAGGGTTATCCACGTTTTAGGATTGGCACAACATGCGGTTGTACACCATACCGCTTACAACTCACAAAGCCTGAGATTCTCGTTTATTATGGACATCATTACTATTTTTGACGAGACTACAATAAGAGCCACTAAAATAAGCGATGTTAAAATCTTCATATACAATAAATACTTCAGCAGGACAAAAGAGTTTTTCGAAAACAATCAAATGAACTTTAAGTTGTCAGATGATAAGTTCAAATTCACATTGACAGATATGACAAGTGTGAAATCGCTTCAGATATTTCCATATAACAATCACAAAGAGACTACAATGGTGACTAGAGTGCAGACAGTTGGTATCCGGTACAGCGTTTATTTGATAAGTTTAGTGTCTAAAATAATGAGGATATGATCAAGGTCATGTTTAAACAAAACAAAAAAACATTAATTCCTAATTTACTGAAAACTGAATCCTTATCTAAATAGTGAGAAAATTGAACGTACCTAAGTTACACCAGACATCAATATACAATTCTATACTAAACTGCGGCTCAGTATAATCGTACCTTTTAGGTTCACCAATCATAAAATTAAAATACATTTATAGTGTGATGGGTTTAAATGGAGTTTTTGACGTAATTACACTTAGATAAAAGTGAAAATAATTTTGAGAAAGCCCAAACAACCTATTGGAAATCTACTTACTTTCGACTTTTCACTACTTCCATACCATTCACCACTTGATTTTTGGCATTCATTAAAAGTATAGGTTTACCAGTTTCATCACGAACTTGACCAGTTCCATTTCCCATTAACTGAGATACTTGACTTGGGATGCACCGACCAAGCACTGTTATAGAATACAATTAAATAATTTAGTAAATAAAAATTAAACCAGAAAATGGTACATCTAGAAGCGATGAAGAAACATCAGAACTCAAAGTAGATAATTATAAAAATACATAAACAAAACGGGTTGTATCATGCTCATGTTTATCCATTTCAAATTCCGTTATAAAATAAAGATATAATTTTTAAAACTAACTTGATCTAGAATGATATACATATGGGGCACATTGTTTGTCTTGTACTAATTGATCAATACTCTAAAACAACACAATGTAAAACGTTATCAAATATATTTGTGAGAAATTAATTGACATGGATACATTGCACAATTATCGCTTTGCAATCAACATATTTTATGACTAACAATATGAATAACAATAATAATAATACTTCATAGAGAAAATTCTACATTTACAAATTTCACATTTATATAAGGCACAGTTAAATTCCTAATTTTTGATACTGATTAGGATATTCTATGATGTAATTATTAAACAAGTCACCATTTCCGAGCTAACAAACTTAAACCATATTAATTGTGGTCTAAAATAATTGAAAGCATTAGAATTTAAGTAATAAGTGATAAACTGTAGACTGATAAAAGAAAATACTGTCCAAAAACTATCAAGACTGCTACAAACGATGTTCAAATAGTTTAGATCGATTGATATAGATCAGAATATATAGATGAATGAAATTCTAATGGCATAAAGTCATTTATTTTATTTCATCTGATGCTTATAGGTTTATCGGTTATCAACTTAGTGAACGGTTTAAGTAAATTTTGAACTTTAATTTTATCTGGACCACACAAAAACAGAATGAAGATCTTAGAAATTATGATTAAAATTCGTTATTAAATATATATATTAACTAGATTTAAAAACAGCTTTTGAAAGTGAACTTGCTAAAACAAATTTGTTCGCTGAATTATTTGTTTAATAAACAATATTTATCAGTCAAAGTAAGAATGGAATAACTTACCTGGTTGGCAAATTTAGGATCATTCGCATCTACACCCCCTAGACATATCATTAAACTCCTAACATATTGAAGTTTTTGATCAAAGGGACCTTTCCAAGACCAGTAATATTTTGGACACGAAGCCACACAGACCTAAAAATATTAATGTAAATAAGAATGAGATATGTTTGTAGGTAATACAAACAAAACTTTGTTATCGTTAACTAACTATTCATGCCAAAATAAAGGTCGATCTCTGTAGCGGAATTTAGATTGGATTAAAGCATGTTTCGTGTAGGATTATGTTTGGGCACTCTGACTGGCTATTTTTTGACAATCAGCGCTAGCGGAGACTCGGAGAAGTTTCTAGAATCTTATGTAAAAACTATAAATATACTAACTTTCTTATTGTGATTCCTAATTCAGTATATAAGTATGTTCTTGTTCAACCGTATTCTGATTTGAGAACTTGTCGAGTCAAGTAATGTTCAAGAACACTAAGCAATAAGAGTAGCTAAGTCGTAAGAAAAGAATTTATGATGATCTCCATCGGTTCTGATTATGATTCAGTTACTCACTGAATATCCTCTTTTTTGTGTCAACTTATAATTCAATAATCTTATGCCATACTTGTCACATGAGAGCTAGTGGTGCTTCTGGTTGTGATGTTAGTCACACATTGGTGTGGAGGACGATTTTAGTGAGCGATGAGACTGATTTTCGATTGTCAAAATCAATGAATAAAACCTTAATTGATAAACGAATCTAATAACAAATTGTAGTTACTCAAGAGACAATAACGTTAACTGGAGCCCCCAACTAGTTAGAAATCGAATGTAAAACCGCTAGCCAAAAGAATATTCATTTTGTAACAAAGTAACATGCTTGTGTACACAATCTGAATACAAAATAAGCATGAAAAGAGTCACAGGCGATGGGAAGTTAGTTGGTCGGTCACTCAATCGCCGATCAATTAAGACCCCACTGTTAGGTTAAATTAATGGATATCATATCACCCACCCACTGGTTGATTGAAAAATGAGTGCCAGCTGAATACAAAATCGTGAGCTTGATCCTATATGAGGTTGCAGGTAAGCAATGTCGAAACTAGTGCTTCTAACTTCGAATGGTTCTGAAAATGATGTTAGTCTAATACGATAATTAAATTTGTACGAAACATGTTCACCAAAACGGTCTCAAGGTATAGGCTTTAACTCGGAATACAGTGAGTGAAATTTCACAATTACCGGATAAACAAAAAGTTGTTTTGACACAACTTCGTTTTTGAGTTTATGAGACAGATGTTACATGAATTATATATATATGTATCAAAACACTTAAAAACGTGTAAAAATTCTATACCTGAGGCGTCGGGCACCCTGTAACAACTAAAGCTGGCCCCAGTATGAGACAACTTTGCAAATCAAAGAAGAACAGATATGGTTTACCACTAAACAAAATAGGAACGAAAAGTATAGATGTATTAATGGTGAATTTAAGTGTGATCTCAAATATACATCCTCCAAAATTCAACAATGAGTAACTACAACGAAAAATGAAGCACTTGGTTAGTATTCTTTGCGTTTAAATGATGAAGGTTGTATTTCGTTTACTTTCGAAAGTGGTGATAACCATGTTACTTCACGAAATAATAGGACCACCATACACGGATATCTATATCGAACCATGAGTGCACTGAAAAAAATTCGGATTCCCAAATTGATGTATGCTGAACAGGGTTTAGATCACTGAGCTTCATTTTCGCTATACATACGAAACACTAAGTTCAGAACATTAAACTCACATTTTTTTAACTAGGTCAAGACAAGTGTTTGCAAAATTATTACTGATTAATGCTAATGTGCTCTATGAATATGATCGTTACTATATCGAAAAGGCTTATTTTAGAACTGTCATTTCGAATGGAGTTTAAAAGTGAATGTTTATAGTTCACAACTAATTAAGTATATACGGATTATCTTCACTACCATAATTAATTTATCAAATGATAGAATTCAGTTGTCACAAACAGGCTGTCATTCTCGACAATACAAAATATTAGTTGCAAGAATAAAGTACAGTACATAAATCTATCAGTAGCTGATCTTATTTATGAAACATCTGTTAATAAATTGAATTTAGAATATAAGATCTGCAAGCGACTGAATACTGTCTTAAAAACTAGTGAAAAAGGATCTGGATGTTTGACAGTTTCATGTACCAATAAACGCTAAATCATAGGACATTCAGATATTCCAGATTAAATTCGTACGATATACAAGATTTTGTTATGTGTTGAGTAAAAAAAATTGTCAGCAAGAGTTATTAGTGATACGTTCGTGAACTAAGCTAATTATGAGTAATTTTAAATTAAATACGATGAACGAGACTAGTACTGTCCCCTTTTTGCCAACCCACTACATAGAGTGTAAATTCCCGTTTATACACAAGCTTTCTTAATAGAAACTTGAGAACTAAATTATGTTCAAGTTGATTCAATTATAAATCAATCTAATAATGATCTTTCACAAAATTTTATCAATTGTTACTGAACACAAGATCACTGTAAATTAACCGATAAAAAGAAAAATGAATTTAAATCCAAATAACTAATTATAGCTGAAGAATAAAATTCACTCTAAATAAATTAGTACAATGAAAATGCGTTGTTACTTGATTGAACAAAACTCATCTTAACTCGATATCCTTGTCTTAATGATACGTACCACGTGGGAAAGTTTAACATTGCTAACAATAATATAGGTGTAGAACTTTCGAGGATTTTTCAAAAAACCCTATAAACTAATTTAGTTGATTAGTATTTATTTACCCAGGAATTACCTTTGATTTTCACTTATTAAAAGGTTTACTACTTGAATAATTCAGCAAATCTAGATTGTTTTCTCAAAGCGACTTAACAAGGAGTACGTTATGCATTGTGGATTCAGGACTTCAACTAATAATAAACGAGCTAAACTTTTTCACATGTAGACAAATACAATATTTACACATTTAACATTTGAGACTTCAGTTTATAAAATTCGATAAACATATAACACAATTAGGCCATCACAAATAATCCACACACACAAATGTATGTAAATGTACCGGACTAAATTCATAAACATATTCCAATACATTTAAGGCTAGGTGAACAAAACACTTAAGGATAGATTAATACGCATGATACACACCAAAAAGTCAGGCACTAAAACGATTAAGCATATACTTTTTGCACAAATTACACTTTGCCTTTGAAATGGTATTTTATGTAAAATAACTACGAAGTAAAAAAAAACTGAAACATTTTACACAAAAATGAATTCAGCTTCAAAATGATTCAGCTACGCTACGATCAATGACGATGTTTAACTTCAGAAGTCAATTAGTAAAAATATCCTCAAAACGCTTGGTGCTTTTATAGCTACTTTTCATATTATCCAAGTAATAATTAAAACATGCCCTCTCGACTTAAAGTTAATTAACCCTTGGAATGTATGAATAACCAATTATATGACTGCAATAAAATGTTTTGAATTAATTGGGGTAGAAAGCAATATTCTAACCACAATAGATCCCAGAAAAATGTGACTCTGTGTTCAGAAAAATACAAATTGTAGTCAACTTTTCCCTTGAAGATACACTAGGCATTGAAGGAAACCAGTTTCGAAGTAACATTTACATTTGTAGTCAATATCGCAACCAATCATGTATTGTTATTCAGTGCAATAAGATCGAATTAGTTAGTATCATCCTCACACCATCAGAGAGTCAACAGACAAATATTATTACTTCTCTGAAATCATATTTATAACAAAAGTATATAAAAACAATGACCAGTGGGAAGTTGGAGAATAATTACAGGCCAACTAAACTGTTCCACAGTTTTCCAATTATCATTGTAATCACCTAACTGGGAAAGACATTTTTGATGTTTCTCATAACAGCAATTCAGCTAGTGGCAGATTTTGTTTTAACATCTACAGTGAGCATCCAATGTTGTCTATCACTACTGAATGTTCCACACTTTGTTATCTGCCCGTTCTCAAGATCACTATTTTTCTTATCTCAATAATTTATATTTTCTTATTTAATATTAACTTCGATCCCTATCTTTTCTATCCCCGTCAATACTGTTACTAACTCTAATACTGAAATTTGCCGTGACAATTTCATTTCATTGTGTTAATGAAGTATGGCAACTTGAATTGATATACACAAGTCCCGTGTTCTACAATGCGTATAACTAACTAATGCAATTAATATTTAGTCGTTTCGTTAATATACACTTACGTTCTTTAGTTCATCACTACGTTAATATAATCTACTAATTGAGAAGCTGTAAGAATCCATTGATCTTGTTGAGATTAAACCAAGAACGTTATATGTTGTAAGATGAATGAAATCTACTGCAATTTATGTTTTAAACCTTCCGGAAATGTACTAATTATTTATGTACATTCATTGAATTCATGTGGATAGAATCAAATCAATTGACAAAGTGATAACTGTGGAAAGTACTTATGATTTTAAGGGTATAATACGATTGGTAAAACTACGTCTTTTTTACTAAATTATTGCATATGCAACAGACTGACAGCACGTGAGATTTGATGAATTCATTACACGCTACTATGTCCACTACTTACGCTCTACAAGATTGATAATATGATTAGTCAAGTGATCTCGAGATCACCAATTCACATAACTCTGACTAAATATTGTTTCCCACATTTTATTAATCATCCATTATGTAAACAGTTTAGTGTGCGAACTAATGTAAGTTGAGCCTGATGCTATTTTATATGAAAAATGTAGTTTTCAAACTTGTTATCACTACAAAATAACTGATTATTGCCATTTTATTACTTATTCAAAACATTGTGATCTGTAACGTATAGGGCACGTTATTTCTACTCCCCTCCCCCAAAAAAGTGACAGTTGTATATTCGTAAACAAAAATGTTTAAAGTTTGAGAACTTACGGAACATCACGACCGCAAACTTGTCCTTGCGAATTAGTTGGATGTATGACACGTTTAAAGTCTCCCATGGCAAAACCTGGTGTGAAAGGTCAACAAACATCTTTACTGGGTAATTAAACATAAGATAAGCTATAACACCCTTTTAGATGTTTGTGAAACATACTGTTATGTAGATCAACTAGAGATCTTGGACTGTTCCTAATAAAAGGAACCTAGTGAAACATTTGTAGCCAGTTTCAACAACAACAAAAATCCTCATGTATACGGATATATAGTCAGTAGACTAGAAAATAGCCATTCATTAAGATCTGAACTGTTTCGCAGAAATTGAGGGACATGCATATAAAATTGTGCTTATAGATTGAAATCAAAATAGCTCCAACGTTTCCTCTAGCAATCTAATCTGAGCTTCACAGGAATTATCAAGGACAAAAATGAAAAATCCGAACAGCTGAAATGAGAAAACATAAACAATGCTTGAGACACGTTCCCAAACCTTTGGAAGCTCAAGAAGCTTGATGATTAATCAACAATAGCACTGTATTCAATTGAAACAGGATACCAAATGAAGTTAGCTGCATCATGATCACCGCTGGTTATACAGACAGAAATATTCTGGCCATTAACTCTTGACATGATTTGTACCACCAGCAAAACGGAAAACAAAAGCAAAGTAATTTTAATTGCTTAGTTGATCATCATGATCAGATTTATCTGTAGTTGCCTTTAATCAAGATGACAATGAACAATCTATTTCTCAACAACAACAACACACTAGCATGCTCAATTTACTCAAATGTACTTTCAGTTTTATGGTAAACACAAATAGGTGGGATTCAAGTTGTACCCAAAGACTTAGTTCGCCGAAATTAGAAAACAACATATGCATACAACTTCACACAAGTAATTTTGAATACACGTAACACGAGATGACTCATGTTTTCACCATAGTCAAAAGTGATATTTTAGCATAGTTGAACGAGCTTATAATGTAGAATTGTTTTTGAACTTATTTATTTAAGATGATTCTGAGTTCGATTATTCACCAGAAGTTCGAAACGGGTTCCTGTGAGAAACGTTGACAGTAAAAGCAACTGGACTGTTTATTTCATTAATTAGAGTCTACAAACATGCTATATATATATATATATATATATATATATATATATATATATATATATATATATATATATGACCCAGTCACTGATAAAAAATATCCCTTCTATCAATAAAATGAAATTCCCATCAGACATATTTTAATATCCAAATAAAATTTCATTACAAAAACCCGTACATTTTAACGTCCTAATTAGTCGCAACAAATATAAAATAATATTGACAAAAAGCAAGTAGAAACTTACTCCACAAAGTAACGATAAGGAAACCAACGATGAATATTGAGAACACTATACAACAAGGAATATCTGTACATGTTCTGTCAAAAAAGAAAGCACGGAAACACTAAGTAAGAACTAGAGGTTTGACTGTGAATGAAGTAATCTTGAGTGCTGTTAGTGTATGAAGGCGGTTGTTACTTTACTGTACGCCACACAGTAGATCCCTCCTTGGAATACGCGAAAGGAAATCTGGATTAGTGATGGTCTCGATGACCTGGAGTATGAAAGCAGTGCCTAAGAGACAATTGTTTGAGACCACATTCAGTAGATGAAAAAATAATTTAGGGACCAACCAATCAGGTATAAGAAAAAAGACCTTGGATTTTGGCACGAAGTTCACTCATCCATTTGGTTAAATAGAGTTTTGGCATTATAGCTTATATCAGTTGGCGATGAGAACCTTAAGTCTAATTCCTAACCTTAACAATCAACTGTAAGTTATAATTATAATTCCTCACACTGGTTTATAACCCAGTTAGTAGCAGACACACACACAAGGTCAATTTAGCGACACTCATAGGTCATCCATAAATTATAGTCTCACCGGAAAAATCAGTGCATATAGTAGTCACTTGAGGCACTTGTCATATAGCTTAAGACTTTTTGCTTATCATATTTACAAAGTTTCTATCACTTTTTGATGGTTTGGTCGACCAAACCATCCAGCTCAGAGAAAATAAACTCCATCAAAGTCATTGACATGCGCTAAAAATCTTTTCCACCATCCGCTCACTTTAGGGTTAAACGACAATTTGGTCCAACCAAGGTCTGAAATTAATTAGAGCCTCGTTAATTGTTATTACCGGCTGTTATAGAAGCCAAGAAATGTCGGAATTGGAGGCAATCTATTGATGTGGATAAAAAGCTTCCTAGTTGGGCGCCAACAAAGAGTATGGGTGAACTCAGTTATCTAGCTGGAAAACTGTGCTTATTGGAGTGCCCCAAGGTACAGTTTTGGGGGCAGTGCTATTCCTCTTGTATGTAAATGACCTTCCTTGTCTCCTATCACCTACGTTGTAGCTGACTGACTGACTGACTGACTATCACCATCGGTCTTGCTACATGCTGACGATGTCAAGGTGTGAAGAACGAAACGATGTAAGGGTGATAGCTTACAACTCCAAAATGATCTGAAGAAATTATCTGAATGGTCTCAAACCTGACAGTTGCCGATAAATACTTTCAAGTGTGTTGTGATGCATATCGGTCATCAAGGTACAGATACATACACGATGTTCAGACACATAATGACTTGAGAGTCATCGTTAGCTAAGACTTGAAGACTACTGCACACTGCCGTGCAATAGCCGCCAAAGGTTTTAGAACCTTATAGTCAATACGTCATGTCATGTCGATGCCAAAACGTTTTCGATTTTGTATACAGTGTTCGTATGTCCTAAACTTGATTACTGCATACAAGCGGCTAGCCCCTGCTTAAGAATAGACAGTGAGCTTCTGGAAAATGTTCAGAGAACAGCAACTGAGCTGGTTCCCGGAATAGCTAAGCTTTCGTATGATGCTCGACTGGCCAAGCTAAACCTATTCCCGTTGTCATATCGTAGAACTAGAGGCAATTTGATTAGTTTTCAAATTGCTTAGTGATAGATTCGCATCTGATATGCCCTCATTTTTCGTGTCTTCCAGAACAGAATCTACGGGGACACTCCAAAAGCGTCCACAAGCCCAGAACAAATTACTTGTCAGATGACTATCGACTTTCCCATCGAATCATTAACGAGTGGAATTCATTACCTCAGCACGTGGTTGATACTCCATCCGTCGACTCTTTCAAAACAAAGTTGGATCAACTGAGAGACCACCATTGCCAGGACTAACGCAGGCCATCAAGCCTCCTGTCCTTTCCAAACTGAAACTGTTAATTGTTGTAAGGTAATAACTTAAAAAATGTTGTATCAGATGGAAACGAATGTATTGTCAGTCTGCAGTCAGTAATACGGACTTTGACGACAAACTCAGTCAAGCTAAATGATCCTAAATGGGCTAAAATGAAAAATTGTTGTAATACGCCCTCAGGATTCAAGAATCAAAGGTCACATGGTGAGCAAACGAGAACTTGCAAGTGGAATCCCTAAGCGTAACTGAGTTATGGTAGAGAAATAAGTGAGCTCCAAGATACGTAAATTTCACACAGGAATGTTTTTCGGAAGATGCACAATAAATGATTGCATTAGGTATGTGTATAAAAGAACTTTAAGTCTAAAAACACTTACCTATTTCGTACAGGGCCAATGGTACGTATTGTTTTCGAACCTGAAAGTTAGGGGATTATTCACATTTACATAAGAAAATCTGAACTTCACTCAACTAACAACTTACTGATGAAAAATGAATTGGGGAATATGGGACATTTTTAAGCAAGCAAAGCAAAGGTAAAACACACGACCGTCAAATTATAGACGAAAATATGAATACTACACTTAATTACGATTTCCTGTCAATTTCCGTCACATAAAACATTCCATAGGACTGACTGTCAAAAAGTGTAATCATTTGTGAACGAAGTGAGAGATGTTATAAACTTTATTTAGAGTTTCCGAATTTTTCTTCAGCAAAATTAAGTGAACAATAAGACGAAACCTGAACAATTTGTTCACCCTGAGTTTTTGATTCCACATATTGTAGTCACAAAAAGCGGTATATTTCCTAAGTAATTATTGATGCTATCCATGTCCTGATCGTCTTAAAGTATTTTTGTTGGAATTAGTATAAACTTGAAACAAATTTACGTATAACAATTATAAAGAGTCTACACGACTACTGCACTATATTTTACTTCCAAACGACCAAAGGATGAGTACAATAAACCACAAATAAATTACCTGTATCATGCGACTGTCCACAGCAGCCCATATTTTGCGCCAAATGTTTTGAATTGAAAGATGTGACAGAAGACAGACTATCACTTACCAATATATTAAAATATTAGTTTCAGTTTTCAGTCATCACTAATAAGGAGCGTAGATTAGTGGACCTTTTTTAATCGTGCTAATTTACTTTCCAGTGAAGGTTTAGCTTCTCCTTGGAAATGTTCACTGATGTTGATGACACAACTTGTCCGGGTAAACCGTTTCAGTCATTGACCACTCGATGAAAAAAACGGGAACCCACTTCAAGTTTATTAGATCGTGGTTTGTGAACCTTCTCGCTATGACAGCGGAGATCAATAAAGCTGGAGGGGATAAAAAGATAGGGCATATTAACAGCCAGCAGTAAATAAATCCCCAAAATCAATAACTCTGTAAGTCTTCGACATGGGATAGTTATCACATTAGTTTTAATGGACTCACCTAGCTGAGGGCGCTCGGTCATGCATCCGCACAACATCACGAGTGGAAACACCGTGCTCAACATCCCCTGCAATTGATAGCCAGATTAGATCAGTCGATCCACGATATATTGATAGCCTATCAAATATATCTTCGAACCTCCTCGCATCTGACTTTTAATTTCACTAGGTGTGTACGATTCATATAAAATGGTGCCACTGGCCAAAGCGTTGTCAAACTCCAAATACTTGTGGCATCTTCAATTTTGTCAAAGCATTTGAATACTCGGCGGAGTGACGACAAAGCACGAAACCCCTTGTCAGCGGCTGTGAGTTATGCAGTTGTTTTCAGGTCGTGACTTATTATTACTCCCGAATATCTACGTTCCTGAATGCATGGAAGAGATGTATCATCACTAGTTTACTGTGTCCGACCAGCATGAGAACACTCTCTAAAATTAACTTCTAAGCCCTAACCTCCAGCCCATCTATTTAATTCATTTAAGTCAGCTTGGAAATCCAAATGATCAGCTTCACTTCTTACTGTTCTCCAGATCTTGACATCATCCGCAAACAATAATATCAATGACTTGCTGACGTAGAGAGGGAGAAGTAGGGGATTCAAGATGGGGCATTGGGATACACCACTTTTACCCGGTTTCCATCCGGATAGTGTTCCGCTAACCCTCACTCTCTGTCTGCGGTCACATAAGAAGTTTCCTATCCACTCCTGTACAGCACCTGTTATTTCAAAGCTTGAGAGCTTATGTATAAAACCTAAGTATGAAACCTTGTCAAACACCTTGCTAAAGTCTATGAATGTAAAATAGACAGACAGTCAGTTATCTAGGGCTGCCGTCTTATCCACTCCCACAATAAGTAAGTTAGTGAAGCATGAATGATAGTTTCGAAACCCGTGGTGCTCGGGAGTTAACAGATTGTACGAATCTATGTGACTCACTAACTTAGCCCAAATGATCTTTTCAAGTAACTTAACGACTATGCTGGTTAGACTAACAGGTTGGTAGTTAGATACGACCCGTCTGACCATCCTTAAATATAGAACTGATCACAGCATATTTCCGACCTCTAGGTTGTTGAGCGGATGAAAAGAACATTTTGAAGAGCACTGTCTTGAAATAATGTCCGCAAGAGATGATAGTGGGCTCATCAGGGCCCGGTATCTTAAAAGATTTGAGGTTAGTGATCAGTGGAAGAGCAGCTTCCTCGGTCACATAAACAGATCTTATGGCTGGTATCCTGCTGTGATTGGGACAATTATTTCTAACAATACATGTGGAGTAGACTTCGCTAAAATAGTCTCATAACGTCTCAGCTTTTGCCAGGTCTGATTCAGCAAGTAAATCTAAATTTTCGTGTAACAGTGACGGGTGAACACTATCACTACGTCTTGTTCTCCGTTAAGCGTACGAAAACAATCGTTTCACACAAGTACGGCCATCATATACTAACTGTCCTTCTTAAATAGTACGGCATCTAGCTATGGCCTTTTTACATATAGTCCGGACTTTTTGGTATTCACACCTGAATGCTTCGTATCCTGTTGACAAGAATAAGTTTCAGAAGTGCTTCCTACGCTTCAAAATCTTTCGGGTTTCCTTATTAATTCATGCTGACCAGGGGATAAACTTATTCCATTCGTCTTCAATCGATCCATCCGTAATGACCGACCAGCTAGTCGAGATAGCACAGTCTCTAGTTGCCGAGATATTTACTACCCATATATTAGGACGGGGTGGAGCAGATACATATTGTATATCGTGTGTCCAAAACTTAAAGTTCAACGTGATCACTATTAGCTAGTGGGGGAAGGTGTTGAATGTTGATGACATCCTCACGGTGGTGAATGAGGACAAGGTCCAGCAATGACGGATCATGTTCCAAGTCAATGTGTCGGTTTCGCGATACATTTATAAATTCACACTGATTAATGGTTGGTAGAATGTCATAACTGAAACCCCCACCCGAAGCTACAAGGTCTATCCAGTTGATATGCGGTGCGTTGAAATCTCCACTGATGATACAAAATTTTGCCTTACTCAAAGAACAGATGTGTCTCAAGACAAAGTCGTCAGTAAGACGACACGGACTACGGTGTATTCCTCCTGTAGTCACTAACCCGTGTCTAGACTTGATTGTAAAACATACTACCTCACATGTACTTCTAACTTGCGCCTCAAATATGATTGATTGTATACAAAAGTGATCCCCAGAATATCACGTCATGCCTCCTCCCTTGTGACTTAAAACTCTATCACCTCTAATACAGCCGTAGCCTGCAATGATGAGAGAACGGTCTATATCTACGGCGAGTCACGTTTCTGTGGTAGCAAGTATATCGTGAATTAATGCACCCACCATCAAACTTGGCTAAAAAATTTTGTTTTGCACTACGGGTGTTCGTGTAGCACACACTTAAGGTGTTTTGGGAATCATTGGTTCCAACCATACAGGTCTCGGTAGTATTGGTTTTCAAAAAATGAATACCCGAAAACCCTGGATCGTAAGGTTCGTTTCGATACTTATTTTCTGAGTTTTTAACTTCATAAGGGCATTCTTCCACTTGATTCGATCCTCAACCAGTCAATCAGGTGGGATACGAATGTTTAATTCACCACTTTTGTATGTGTTATTCAGAATTACATCTTTTCATCAAAATTCCCAAATGCTAGGAGGTGCTGGGTCACGACAAGCATCATCACAAAGGATGGATCACTATTAAGACCCTCGACAAGATTCAAGAAAAAAAACAAGAAAACAACAATTAATAACAGTCGAATAAGAGTAGGGAGAGTCAAGGCACAAGCTGACTACACTGGAGTAAACAAGATGGTGAAATAAAGCACTAGAGCTGACGAGCAGAAACTCGTGGGAGAGCTAGCAACCCGATGAATAAAGCTGAAAGAGAAGGAAATATGAGACAAATATACGACACAACGAAGAAACTAGCAGACAAACGGTAAACCAGAGAGAACGGTCAAGTACAACGAAGGCAAGACAATCACTGAAATTGATGGATAGTGGAACAGGTGGGTTGAACATTTCGAGGGACGCTTTAATAGACCAGTTTCATTGAATCCACCGGACATCGAAACGGTACACAGATCTTACTATAGACGTCACTCCGCCGACGATCGGAGATATTAGGATGGCCATCAGACAAATTAAAAGTGTGAAAGCAGCAGAATGTGACAGTATACCACCTATAGAACTAAAATCAGACATAGGAGTAACTGTAAAGATGCTTCTCATTCTATTCAGAAAGATCTGAGAAGAAGAAGAAGAACAAGTGTCGATGGACTGGAGAAAATGATATGTCATTAAGATACCAAATTAAGGAGATTCGAGCAAATATGGGAACTACAGAGGCATCATACTATCACTGGTTTCAGAAAACATTTTCAACAGAGTGTTGCTGAACGGGACAAAACACTCGGTAGACTCCAAACTTCAAGATCAACGGGAAGGATACCGTAAGGATCAGTCGTGCACAGACCAAATCGTGACACTAGGGATCATCTTTGAACAATCAGTTGAATGGAACTCATCCACATAAGTCAATTTCATTGACTGTAGGAAAGCATCTGACAGTATGAAAACTTCTTCAACAATATGGTGTATCTGAGAAAATAAACAACATCATCCGAAATTCATACGACGGACTACAGTGCAAAGTCGTGCATGGAGGACAACAAACACAATCATTGATATCATTTATATGAATATCTGAAATTGTAGTAGCAAACTTATATCCTATAATTTTATTCAACAACATATATAAATACATAAATGAACCAGTGTATGAATAGATATTGAGGAGAGAAACCTGAATTATTGTAAAACACTCTTTTAAACAATTATAAACACTAGTAATTATTTTAGAATTTACACTTTGCACTCATTCAAGCTTTTGTGTAATATATAATTTCAATAGTTAAGATCATGAGTCAACCGAAGCCAGACCATCATGGAAAACCTGGAATCACTGAACGGCCGTTTCGTCCTAGTATGGGACTCCTCAGCAGCGTTTCCAGGTTTTCGTGGTGGTTTGGCTTCGATCGACTCATGATCTCAACTATTGAAATTACAAAAATCTCCACGAAACCCCTTCTGAGAATATACAATTATTAGTAATATTAGTTTCACCTAATCATTGAATGAAACTTTAGCAAAAATAATTTACCTAACGATGGAGAAGGCGGGAACAATGGATTGAATTATTCGGAGTTGATCGGATGGCATGGCTCTGCCATTCAGACATGGCCCCTGTTGAGTTTTATCTTATATCTTTTATTCACATTAAATATATTGTTCTATTTTAAGCCCAAACTTGTTCTCCATCATGTATTGGTAATTGTTGCGATGCAATGAGTTGGTTTAGACGATGGTGTAACTTCCACGTAAGATCTTACAGATTAGGCAGTTACGTCATGACAAATCTACAATTTTAGGATTAGATCTATTATTTGAGCATTACTAATATCAGAGTAGAGCATAATTCTATAAGGTCTTCAAATACAACACGGAGAACTCCAACTCAATCACACTTGATGGAGAAACTCCGGAAGTGGTGGAAAGTTTCACGTCC